CGACAATTCTCTCGCGACCAAGAGCCCAGGAGGAAGTAAGAAATGCCTGAGACCAAGAAAAAAGGAAAGAAAAAGTCCGTTCGGCCGTATATCGACAGGGAACTTTATATTTACCTACCGACGATAATTTAATGAACAAATTGAAATATTTTGGGAAAAATACAAATTAAACCATACCATAATATTTGTTTAAAATAGAAAATACTCAAATACTCTAATTTACCTAAATACCTAGCTACTTTTAATAGGGACTAATATACATTTAAATAAAATAGTAAGGAAAAAAAATAAGCCCGTAACGTTGCCGAGATGTTTAAATTTTAATTTTTTATTTATTTTTATTAATTATTTCAAGGAGTTTTAAATATATTGACTCGAAATTTGATGGTTATATTTTAATTAGAAATATTGACAGCAACCTACTATAATGTATCAATAGAAATTAAAAATGCACAACTTACAATAAAATATGTTTTATTTTTTTTCAAACAAAAAACGATGCATTCTACGAAAAAAATTGAAAAGACCAATTTCATTCAAAATTGATGGCGGATATCTAAAAAAATATCAAAAGGGGAAAAAGTCAGTGGCGTACCATTATTTTTTATTAAAAAAAGGTTGTGGCATTCTTGCACGGACGCCACTGGTATAAGTAGAAGTATTCGGATCACCCCAAAAAATTAACATTTATCCCTCCAAAACGTTTTTCAAATTTCGAGCCAATATCTTTAAAACTTTAAAATAATTAATAAAAATAAATAAAAAATTAAAATTTAAAACGAAGCATAATTCAACCTACGTTTATATAAACTTTTTTTCAAAAAACATCTTCTGCAGCCACCCCCTAAAATATTTCGCACTTATTTACAAACACCCTGTATAATTTTAATTTCATCTGTACTAGTTTTATTAATTTTTTCCCATTTGTTTATGTTAATTACTCCAGGTAATTTATTTTTTAATGAACTCAGCTTTTTATTCATTTTCAATTTCTGAGAGGTGAATCATAATTTGAAAAGTACTTCTTAAAATATGGCTGACTGATTTCGTGGTTTATCATCAAAACAAATATAGATCTGTTTTTTCTATTGCCTTTCAAATATATTTTAGTCATTACATCGAAAATTAATATCTCAACTCAACTGGAAAAAGTAATAATATTCGCAGTATCGACGAAGTAAATATTTCATTTCGAAAAATATTGATTGATTGTCCAATTACTAATCTTACGTACTTTATTTTTCAATCTGTCTTGATAACAGTAATTTCTTGAATTTAATATCTATCGTTTTCAACAACTGGCTTCCTCTACATGATGATAATAATAGCAATAATGATTAATTTTTCTCATTATTCAAATATCTACTCATGACGTCAAAAGACTTCCGCATAAATTTTTCTTAGTAATTTTCATGGTTCACGGAAATGATAGTTGCAAAACGATGATTGATAAAATTATAACGATTTTGATGAAACATTCATTTAAAATGTAAACGATAAAAAAAACTTCAAAATCACTTCCTTTTAGTTTTCCAAAGTTTCTTCTACAAATTTGTAAATATCACAAAATATCATTGACAATTTTGTAGATATAACATCGTTTTGATTATTAATTATTGGCAAATAAAAGCGCTATTTCTAAACTGAAGACTAACAATATCTTTATTTCAGGGCTCACTAGATGCAGTTTGGGCATCCAAGGTAAGTTTTTCTTGCATGGTTCAGTTTAATGTTATAAGAAACATGTTAATATATTGTCTGATGTTATTTATGTACACTGATTCACGAAAATATTTTCAAATTCAATTACTACTGCTATTGGTTGCCGAGATATCAATGGTTGAACGAACACCTTTGACTTTAAAAAAGTACAAAAAAAGGCTTCAAAATGTTTTTTATCTCGGTGCGATCCTATTTTACTGAAATACAGCCTTGAAAAAAATCACTAAAAATGTATCCAATTTTTTTTGTCCCCTGTCATTTTTTCCAGTAGTTTATATACCTACTTTATTAGATAGTGTCTGTTTAAGAAACATACAATATATTTACTCGTTTATTTTCTCCTTTTTCCCGAAAAAATAAAAAAAAAGTTGTTTAGATATCCCGACCCTCAATTTTCGAAAAAAATTGAGTGACGAAATCCGCATCTATATATTGATTAGTTTAAGAGATACTGCACGTTTTTCAATTTTGGTCGTTTTCTGTGATACCTTTAAGCAAACCGGAACGCAAAAGGAAACAAATATTAAGTAATTATTCGTGCAAGATATACTGAGATACAGTTTCCTCAATCAACTTTTCTAGAAAGTATTTTTTTCTGATTTCTCGTAACACAGAAGGAACCCTTCAAAAGTGTCGAATTTAGTCCACTAAGTACACCTGTAAGACGGTATCTGCTGTACACGCTAATAAGAATGTTTGTTTGCATAAAATATAGCGTATCAATAATTTATTTAATCAATTATCCCAAACTCTGCCTCATTTCCTACGTTTTGTTTCTCGTCATAAAGTAATTATTGCTACGGTCCGTACGATATTTGTTGGGATGGAATTATAAGAAGACCCCTGCGTTTCTTTCTTGGAATTAACCTCATTCGACACCGCGGCGTGGCGTTCACCGTAGCAGCTTCCAATGCATACTGTGTTCTGCAGTTACGAAGAGGTGTTTTTGTAAGTGTATCGTCCTGTGCATTTTCAGTGTAGTTTCTTATTGAAATAAATCAATGGAGGTGAAATATAAAAGAAAGGAATTTTATTCCTAATCGAAGAGCATCGTGTTTAACATGTCTTAATTATTGTGTATTATAAAATAACGCGGAAAATTTCAAGGCACGTCCCTGCTGCAGTAAATTGTTACAGTACTTCCGATAACAGAACCTTATGAGCTTGCATTCATTTCGTGGAATTCTATTCCAACAAGTATTGTACGGATTGTATTCTTTCCTATCGATATCTATTATCCGGAAAATAAGTTATTAAATTTTTTGCGTCTTAAATTTGATAAGTACTAAGCAAGTCACTTAAAAATCGCTAAAATTCTTTGAAAGACAGCACATGGAATTTTTTTTATTATATCTTAATGTTTATAATATCTCATAAGTTTTACGCAAGGTCAGTTTATCACTTTCAAATTTACGATCGGTCATTTCATTTTCTATTTATATTTAAATTATTATTAATTTTTATACATAGAAACATTATCATTGCGTATGGAAGTATATCATAAAAAACAGTTGCTATATAAACGCAGTTTACGAAATGGACAGCATTTTTTTATAAAATCGAATTTTGAAAAATGCAATTGATTCTTTAAGTTCTTTCTATATTACATACTCACCAAGTTGCATAAAAATGCAATATATAGAAAAATGTCACCATCTTTCCAAAATTTCTGATAGCATGACGTATAATTGTTAATAACTCAGCAACGACTCGTCTGCGCCAATAGCGGATTTTGACAGTTTATTATCCATAAATTGAGGAGTATTTTCCGAAAGTTTCATGAGGTTTAGTTAATTTTTAGACAATTGACAATAATTTTAAGAAAAACATCGATTCTTGCCACTTCTTGTTAATTGCAAAACTATTTTTGTGCGATTCAGTCGAGATGTTGAAACAAAAAGCATTTTTTGCGACGTAAATTTTTGTTAATTATATTTTTTCTCACTATGTGGCGCTTGTATACTTTATTGTGTCATTATAATATAAGATATTTGTAGCTAATTTGTAAAAAATGCGATTTATGGAAAATGACCAGAATCACAAAGTTTTGGGCCTCTGTCGACTGGACTATAATCAGTACTTGTTACATGTGGTAGTAGATACTTGATAATTGATATTTGAATACAAGAAAAATACATTAGAGGCTAATAAAAACAAAACAATATTAAATTGGTTACGAATACAAATTTTATATTTTTAAAACTGGTGGCAAATTTAATGCTATTCAGAAGGTTTTTTTGGCATCAAATAAGAGTACAAATTCATAGTGTGACGAAAATATATCTTCCTGTAACGTGTAAAATATAAGTACAGAATAATTATGTGATACCCGTCAATGTATAAACCTCGTCCTATATTTTTAATTGCGTATTTATTATAAGTTTACCACAACAAAATGTCCATGAAACTGTGGAGGTGACTCAAAACAAATTCCTAATACCAGATATACGAGTACAAGATTATACATTTTATGCCATTTGCAGAACAGGTCATCATTAAGAATTAATACCTAGGTGTGTGGGAAGCCTTAAATATACAGGGTGTGAATTTAGTGGGTATTTGAATAATTTGAGGATATTGGATTTAATGAGCAGTCTGCAGTAATCATGATAATATCGCCCAAAAGATTTTTATTACAAATAATCACAGGTCAACAAAATTTAACTTTTTTGGAAGCAGAAACTTGAATATATATTTCCGAGGGATTTAGGTGCGCTGAATCCGAATCTGGCAGCAGAATTGCTCTATCACGTCAGGTTTTTGAGATATCCTAACCTAAAGGTGCAAAAAACACTGTTTTTCGTCATATTTGAGATTATGTAGTAATATCACCTGATCAAAAAACTGTGCTCTTGAACTTATGACGCTGGCTTAGAAAGCATTATTTTTACGCAGTATAATATGATGTAAACAAACAATTATTCCAAAATGATATCAACTAATACAGCTTATTAATAAATTTTCCACTTTTTTTCGCATTGGATTAAGTAAGTTAATAATTAATTCTGGGAAAATATAAATACAAGATGGTTCAACAAAGAAATGAATGAAATTACCAAACAAAAAGAGAAAAGGAATTGTAGTTAAAAAGGTAGATGAATATCTGTGGTAATCCAAAAACACAGTATGTGCTTCAAGCTGTTGAAGTTTTGATCAAAAACTTGTGGAACTCCTTTATACAAAGATTTGGAACCGAAATAATATTTATTTTCAAAATATTTAGTACCTACGTGTTATTTTGCATTGCCGATATGCTGTTATAAAGAAAATTTACTTACCTTTTGGGCTGAATAGCGCAACGGCCAGCACAGAGACACAAACGACAAATTTAGCCGTCATCTTCCGTTGATTTTGGCGCTTCACTGTAACACTGAAAACTGAAACGGCAATTTCGCGTAAGATGTGAATTCTCCGCTTCAACTTACGCACAACCTGCTGGGTATAATCTAATCCTGTTTACAGGCGTGTCGCCGTAGAGGACGACGGAGAAAGATTTGTTTCCCCACCGTGTTTTGCTCTTGGTACTGTACAGGGGGATTCTTCTGTTACGCGCCGGAAAACTCGCACAAGGTGACGTACCTACTTCAAAAAGGCATCGCCTAGAATTTGCTCTTTGAAGCGACCATATCAAAGATCAAGTAGAATAAATTAATAAAAATTTAAAATTTCTCTGTTTAAAAACGTCTCAATTTTCTTGACTTCATAACCTTCTTTTTTATTTAGTGAAATAAATGAATAAAAAATAAAAAATTTCTGTTTAAAAATTTCCGTCAGTTTTCTGTTTTTGATTGTCTACCCTTTTTTTAGTTATCAGTTGTACAAACGCTTCCCCCAAAGTCCATCTCTAGAATCGTCCCTGTTAATCGTACTTTAAAGGCTTGTCAAATGATTTTTTTTTTTGTATTGTGGGCAGAATAGAAAGTACACTGTATCTTTTATAGTAACCAAGTTACGCATCAAGGTCAAAATATTTTATGCTTATAGGGTAAAAAATGAAACAACTCTTGAAAGGTACAAAAAACGAGAACGATTAAATTGGTGTTTTTTTTTAAATGTGTACATGCTATTATTGTTATAATTATAACAGTTTTTTGACAGGACAGGAATACGTACCGAATAAAGTGATTGATGCGAAGCTTCAAATCAGAGGCATACAAGTACATGTTATTGTTGAATGACGCGAATATTGGGATTACTAAGATTTGAAGTAGTTTATACTTCACCACCATTACTTAAAATAGCCTTTATTAAAAACTTCGACTATCTTGGATATACGACCTAGGTAAATGTTGAACGGTCATTTTCATTTTTGAAATGGGTATTTTCCGATCGCCGGAGACGAATAACCGAGGAACACTTTCTTAGGACAACTGTTAATTATTTTCTACAATCGCTTTCCTTATTAGCAAAAAATTATTATTTTGTTAACTTTTGCTCGTACTTGAAGCGTTTACTGCTGTACTGGCTTTACTGTGAAGCGTTTAGTGTAGAAAAATAGACACTGGCCCTTTTTGTTTCATACTAGTATGCAAATACTTGCATATATATTCTTATAGTCCAGTTATAAGAAGGCAACGGTTATGCCACTTTTAGTTTGAATAAAATTACCTGCAGCCAAACCTGCCGCTCTAACATTTCCGATCTCTGTTCGTAATGCATAACATTTTATTATTAATTGTAAGTTATCTTCAGCATGTTATTGAGTAAATTAAAAAAGGTAAAATAATTGTGGATAAATATTGTTTTGCAGATTAAAAGCAATAGGATGAGGAATGTACATAATTTCAAGGTGAACTTTCTCGTGCATAAAATGCAGTAGGAAATGTTTCTTTGGGAAAATTGTTCCGTAATGTATTGTCTTAATCGTTAGAAAACATTTTATAATTAAAATGTATAGCCAACATCAGTCAAATATTTTTATTATCATGTGTAGCAAGGTGATTCAAAATGCATTAGAGGCAGTTTGATAATGGTTTTTATAACGGTTCAATATTATTTGTCTTGTATTAAATGATGTGTACTTTTTTAGTGGGTGTAAACGGACGTACGTAGTACTTGATTTAGTCGTCGTTAGAAACGCCATAGAATAAATGAACACGCGGGGCGCTAATTCCGTTGCTATAACAAATTTATAAGTTAAAAGAATACAACTGGGAAATTTTAAAACGTAGTAATATTTAACTTGGATGTTGTAGCAAACTGTCTGTTGGTCATAAGCACCCTAACCTATGCGATGGCATCATTTTATAGAAAACACTTAAAATTTAAAAACAAAATGTTGCTAAAATGTTAAATTATAAAGGTTTTCTTGATAAAAACCTCTAAAAATGACACATCCACACAAAAAAATAGACTTTCGGTCCCAGAGGTCAAATCATGTTTATTATATGTTTTTTGGGTCGCTGAATCTGATTCCAGGTCCATTTAACCCCATCACCTCAGGATTTTTCATAACATCAAAAAACTGATATTCTAGACAATTAAGCCATATAACCTTAAGCCTCGTTGCACACTAGCCGGACCGGCTAACCGGATCCGGCTGGCTCTTTCAGCCTCGTTGCACACTAGCCGGACTGGCTAACCGGACCCGGCTATCCGGATCCGGCTGGCTCTTTCACAAGTAAATTAATTTTCAAACCGGTTTGGCCGATATTAGTCTCAGTTGCATTTTTATCACGACAAGAGATGAATCGTAGACGTATTGCAATTATGTGGCTTGGCTATTGCCGATGTCGCAATAAAAAAAAAACAAAAAATATGAAAAATATCCAAAAAATATGAAAAGGCTACAGTTTTCTCCGAATGGACAGGTCTGGATTCAAGAAGTGATATAACGAATGCTATATCTACTTCTAGCGAACAAACATTCGCCGGTTCCGGCATGTGTGCAACGGGTGTAAGACTCAAGCTAAATCCATTTAACTAAATCTCATAAACATTTAACCCAATGATATCCCAACCTAATAAGCCTATGAACCCAAACCCCAATAACCCTATAACCCATAACCAAGGGAATATATCATAGGTAATCTGTATTTTCACATATTCGAGGATTCCTTGAAAACCCAAGTACTCAAACCCAAAAAAAAACAATAACCCTATAACCCCATAACCCCGTAACTTCATAATGCCATAACCCCGTAACTAATAAATCATAGGCAATCCGTATTATGGCTAAACGTTAACGTGGTTGAGGATTTCTTAGAAACCTGTGCATTAAAGTCATTCTAGTAATATTATTTTTTGGGTTTTCTACTGTTATCCTTTGGATTTTCATTTTCATTTAATCTAGTCAAGAGAGAGTTTTATTGATTAATTTATAGTACGGTCTATCCTACAAATTTTTTTTTTCAAAAGCTCTTATGGGAGCTATATGATATACGAAATCCGATCGCGCAACCATCTCGTGGTGTACATGGGGTAATGCTAATGCCAACAGTCCTACCAATTACAGTTATAAAAAAAACTAGATCGACTGTAACACTCGGTTCTTTGGCGAATGAGATCAAAGTACAAGGTAATGAAGTTGTAGTTAGGGAATCGTGGGGTTATGAATTGTAGGGTCATGGAGGTTTTGGGGTTTGAGTGCATAGGTCTTTTAGAAATCCTCAACCACGTTAACGTTTGGCCATAATACAGATTGCCTATGATTTATTAGTTGTGGGGTTATGAAGTTACGGGGTTATGGGGTTATAGGGTTATGGGATTTTTCTTGGGTTTGAGTCCTCAGCTATGTGATGTTTTGCAATAATACGATTGCCTATGATTTATTCCCTTGGTTATGGGGTTATGGGGTTGTTGGGATTTGGGTTCATGGGTTTATTAGGTTGGGATATCATTGGGTTAAATGCTTTTGGGATTTGGTTAATTGAATTTAGCCTTGGAAGCTTGAGTCTTATGGTTATATGGTTTAATTGTTCAGAATATCGTTTTTTTTTTTGAGGTTATGAAAAATCCTGAGGTGATCGGGTTAAATGAACCGCGGATTCGAATTCAGCAATCCAAATAAAATTATGATAAACATGGTCTGACCCCTGGGCCCGAAAGTCGATTTTTTGGTGTGGCTGTGTTATAGATGTTGTTTTACTATCTGTTTTCCATATTTTCTCCATATCTTGTTGCCTTCTAAACTGATACGCCTATGGATTTTCGATCTCCACACTCTTCACCCTCTTTACTAGTCCGAGAGCTAGCGATGAGTCACTCTCCCAATTGCCCCCCAATTTTATATTTTCAATTTTTTGTAGAAATCGTCTACGTAAAATTAATTTTCATAGTTTTCTACATAATAAAGGCATTTTCGGTCGAAACTGGTAAAGCGATTAACTGAGGTTAAAAACCAATTAAGAATCCATTAGAAACGAACTACTATAAGAAATACTTATTTAACTCATGTAAAAGCTGTATGTCTTTTCACCCATTCTAAATTTTATTGGGCACGATTTCCAAAGCGTAAAATTTCTAGGTATCTACGTCACTGTTTATTACACACAGCTAGCGTATCGTGAAGGGTCTATGCAGACTGAAAACTATGCCCGCCTTACGATTTCCGCTCATCTGAATTTGCTGGTATTATGCCGTGCTAAAGCTGAGATAAAAAAATATTCTAAGAGTATCTACGTCGCGATCTAGAGGTTGTTTGCCACCTTGTACATACCTCTTCTATAACGAGTTGATTATAATAATATGATAATATAAATAAGAAATAACAAACTAATTATTATGAAGACGAGGTTCACAGTATGCCTGGTAACGTCCTTAATTACAACTTGCGCGGAACATTCCTGTTGTTACACAGATTAATTGTCGATGTTTTAACTTTCTCAATGCCACATCGGCTTTTACGTGATTTAATTGCCTCCCATAGTGGGAGAATTGTCGTATGTGAACCGCGAGATTATTTTAATGCTACCTGTTGCCCGCAAATATATAGGGTGAGCCCATTTAGACATATTTGGACTGGAAAGTTTTTCGTGTTATTCGGGAAATTCTTATAATTTCTTCAACCTTTTTTTTTTTACGTATAAATATATAATATAAACGTATTTTATCAAATTTAGTGTTGACAGAAAAATTAATTTTAATCAAAAGGTTTCATATTAACATGAGTCGTAGATCGTTTTGTTTTCGAAATATCTCTGAGGATGTTTGATACAGACTAATGAAACCTGGACCACTGATTTAAGTACATCAAAAACAAAAATACCTCATTTTATCCACAAAAATAGTATATGAGAATTTTTCGTTAGAAATACATACAATATTAAATATGTACAACATGTGTCAAATTTCAAAAAATCATTGGCGTAGAAATTTTAGATAGAAAATAAAAAAAAAATTATTTTAATTTAGAGTAAACTGATCGTAATGTTGGAAGTTTCACTTTCACGACCTTCTATTCAAAATGTTTTCAAATATTTTCTTAATTTTCATATTACCACTTTTTAAAGTTATCATAAGCGGGTTCATTTCAACCATAAACATGAAATAAAAGTGGTAAATGTAAAAAATGTGTACACCTTTTAACAATACTTACCTTCTCCGAAGAAGTATTGTTTATACACAGTCTTGAAAAGTTTTTGCTCAGTAGCGCACGTGATAATTTTTCGGTTATAATCCAAAATTATTTATTTAAATAATACCCTACTTAAATATATTTTGACTTTTTAAATTGGAAAAGTTTAGCAATGGAAACCATTAAATAGATGCTGAACGTTTTCATTTTATTCTTTTTTTTAAAGACGTGACGGAGACCAACTTATATGTTCTGTATAGGTAGTAATAATATTATTTTTCGATTTTTTTTTGGGTACAAAGAGATATATGCGGGTCATTGAAACATTATTATATCCCTGAAACTTATAAAATTGAGAGCCATTGTGGCATATCCAGAATTATTTAGTTGCCGTGAGAAATTATAAGTCTTGCAAAAATTCACCTTGGACTCACGAGAGGGTAATTGACCATAAAATTATTATGAAATCGAGTTGTTTGCTACGTGCGGTACTATTTGAATGCATGTAATTAAAAAAAATTATTTGAATAAACCAATTTTAAATAAATGCGGCTGCAATACCCGTGAATGTATACAACCAGGAAAACAATGCAACGAAGCTGTGTGAAAGTATAACTGGTTGCATACAGCTAAAATATAAATAATTGGTATATACCGGGTGATGAAAGCGAATGGACTATATTTCATGGGTATCTAGTACAGTTTTGCAAAGTACTGTTTCTGTTTTTTTCTTATTTAGTGTATACAGGGTGTCTCATAATTAGCTGCCAACCCTGAACAGGCCGATTCTATGATCAAAACTAAGTAAAAAAGTTCATATGAACATGGGTCCGGAAATGCTTCCTAAGGGCACAGGGACCCATTGAAGAGGGAGGAATGGAAATCATTTTTTTGCAATATCTCTCAATCGCGTTGTGATAAATGAATGAAATTTGGTATACACAGCTAAATTTTGATGAGCAATTTGATGGACTAATCCATTTATTTCCACAAGGTCCATTGGGGTGGGTACGGGGGGGCCCTCGGTACTTTGCGTGTGTAACTTTTTCATCTTTGACTTTTTAACAAATTGGACAGCAAATTCCGTTTTCCCGAACTGTTTTACGCTAACATTTTTTTTTGTTTAAATTACTATGAAATTGACCAAAGTGGGATTAATTAAATCAATTAAATTTGATTTATCATAGGCTTATTATTTTTTCATTTTTCCACTAGTGAAATAAAGTTACTCTATTCCACTAGTGGATAAAGTATCACTTTTCATGTGTGGATAAAAGTCCGATTATAAGATGATTGTGGATAAAAATATTTAATTTTAAACTGCCAACAATTAAATTTACTTCGAAAATAGAGAACCAGAATACATTACTCTTTCTAATTTTAGTTTTAAAAAATTACAATTCTTTAGAAACAAACGTTTATAACAAACTAACGTACGCTAACAAATATCTCAATTTTAATTCAACACGAAATACTTTTTTTTTAAATAAAACTTCTGAAAGATCGATGGAATAAAATAATTGAAAAAAGACTCCCATAAATGTGTTTTAATTCAATTCCAACATATCCAGTGAATTTTTTCGGTCATTTATACTCTCACCGCTCTGTGATTGTAATTTTATACCCTACCTCCATAACTTCAATAGGGGTCGCAGCATTACCATTCAAATAATTTTTTTTATTAATAATATGCGGGTATATTATTCAAGGTTTATTAACATTTATTACAACATAGAAACTAAACGAAATAAGTTAAATAAAAACGACGTATATATCTACATTTGTTCAGTTTGGGAATATGTACAGAAAAGATACAAAAAAGTGTGTATTATAGAGGATTGTGAAGTTGGATGAAAAAATAATATTGTCGTTATAATAAAATTGTTAACGATGTTCAAATTCATTCCGTTTATGTGAAAAATATATTAACTAAAAATTGTTTGTCCATAGGTGTAGCTATAAGCTTTTAAATAGGGTAAAGATTCTTACAAAATATTTAAAAATAGGTTTACAAAATCTTAACCGATGTAGAACTACTAATAAAAAATAGGTTAAAAATATAAATATATGAATGTTCTGCTCAGAAATAAACCCCTTCAGCTTGTTTCATAACGACGCCTATGGCTTGGCTAAATTAAAGCTTTAAAAATCCAATTCGGGAGATTTAATGTAGAGCCCTTAACAATGCTAATTGACGTTAAGCTGATTGAATTATGAATAATTTTTTAACAATTTTATAATAACTTTTTTAACGACGGGATATTACAAGATAAAATACCCTCTTCTTCCAGAGCCGTACTAATTTATTTTAGTATTTTTACGCATTTCTAATATCAAAAATATTTTGAACAACGTTGGAAATTTTCTACTCTTTATCCAATTCAACCATTTTGACTTTGTCGTACCCGTTTTCGTATAAACTAACAGATCACTCGCCACAAGAGTTCAACAAAATTATTTCCGTACGAAAACCGCAAGTACAACCGGCACTGTTGCGGCAAGGAAGAGGTTAGTCTTGATCATACCAGCGGCGTTGCATTGGTCGGACTCGCAGGTTCCACAGAACTCGAATTCTTTGTTTTTGTCCTTGAGCTCCTCAGGACACTCCCCGGATTTCAAGGTCTTCTGAACCATCCTGCATCCCCTGGTCACTTCAGGAATTCCATGGGCACCTAGAAAATAACCGTTATACTAAGTGTTATTGTGGCTCGTATACAACCATATATCTATTAGAAATATATGGGCAGTTTCCCCACTTTTATTAACAAATAAATGAAACCAATATACTCTCTCTGTCTTTCTCTCTCGTTGTACGATATCAAGATACCAATATCCTGGTGACATTGAATTTGACTTTGACCTTAAGTTTCAAGATCAAATTAAAGTCAACTTGAAAAGGTTAAATGAAACACTTTGTTTCAGTGTCAGCAATCGATGGAGCGCCAAATTTTACTTGTAGGATTCGAATGACAATTTAAATGGTGACCTTCGATTTGGCCTTCATCGCAAGTTGCAAGGTCAAACTAAGGTCAATTTAATATCAAATGGAATACGCAATTCGTTATGCCTTCCATCGATACAGTGTTAAATATTGTGTCGGACTTTGGGGTCAGAGATTATTTCTAGTATGTCCTTGCAGTTTATTTGAAGGTCAATCTCTGATTACCTGTTAGGTTAAATCCAAGGTGGTCATCTAATAAGTTTTCAAAGTCCTACAAATTTTCCTTGAAGCAAATTTGTCGAGATATTCAGAGAAAAATTAGTTTGACCTTATAACTTATAAGGACACGAAACAAAATTTTCTGATCCCATAGTCGGACAGAAATTGGTGCTCTCGATTTCTGGTATAAAAAATAGGGTGTTGCATAATATTTTTAATTTGACCTTGGTCCGACCTTGAAATTTTAAGTGAAGGTCAAATTTTTAATAGGTCTCTATTCTGAAGTGTTATTGGAGGGTTAGGATCTTTGGGACATCCTGTATATTTAGTATGAATTACGAGTATTTCCTGTTGTTTTTGGGAAAGAATATATGTTCAGTTAATTTTTGAAATGTAAATAAATTGGGAAGGACTTTTTTTATGAGGAATGATATTTTCTCAAAGTGTTTCCTCTGCAGCACGTAATCGTGAGACACACTGTATGTACACATTCAAGAACCACCCTGTATAGTTCGGAAATGACCTCGGTTTACCCCCATCTCGCCTATTTTCCGAGATGCAGACGAATACCCATGAAAAGCAATCGCAGTAGATTCAGGCATGGCAAATAATTCTAATAGACGTTTCTTACCCTTGTAGACGGTCTTCAGGCATACGTTCTTCTGGTTGTAGCTGGAGGTGTGCATGTCATCGCAGATCTCTACGTGTGGGTCGGTCCTTACAGGATGCACCTGTCTGTTACCGTAGTTGGCTGTGTCAAAGTACCTCCTGTTTATCTCGATCCTAGTTATATTGAAGTAGTCCCTGCAGGTGACGTCATACGCAGAGGAACATTTCCAACACTGCAGGCCGTGTGCTGAAAATCAAGCAACTGTGAACTACGTCATATTTACGAGTGTGACAAGCAAAAAGTTATTTTTTTTTCCAATAATTAAATTTTTTTAGACACTATTACGCTATTATTTTTTATTATTTAAAAAATGATGGGAGATTATTTATTTACGAATATAGAAAAGAAAAAAAAAATCTAGTAGAACTTGTCTAAATACCAACTAAGGACAACACGTATGTACAGTGAGCGGCAAAAGTATAGATATAGAATATATTTATTTAAAAATAGATGTTCGTTATTTGAAAAATCGCTCGGACCCGTCGAATTATATTTTTAGTTGCACATTTTCTGAAGCAATTTTCATTTATACAGGGTGGTCCAAAAAAAAGTTATGAAATTTAGGCCAACATTTTTAAATGGAAACCCCACTTTTTTGTATTTTTATTCAATTCTCCATGGAATTCTGATAATTTTTTATGTAACATAACCTATACTTATCTTTAACCGTTTTCGAGATAATGGCGTTTGAATATAGAATGAGGAAAATTTTCAAAAATTACCCTGAGATTTACCCTGCTGGTTTTAAAGTAAAACCACGTTTACTTTTCCATCTTAGATTTGTGTGGTTCACAGAAAGTTGCTTCAAATCAGAAAAATCCATAAGAAATAAGTGGTTCGGTGCTAAAAATTTGCAAAATAACCTGGCTCGTAATTTAAATAGTGACATTTAACAAAATCATATTTTATACAATAAAATTATGCGTTTTTAATTAAATTATACCTAAATACCTCACTTATATGTTTTACATTCAATGATCAAAATAAATCAACGAAGGTGATAGATCTGATAAATTTTTATGTTTTTTTTTATTTCTGATGACACGGAGACAGTTCCGTATTGATAATCTATCAAAATCTAATAACAATTTTTTCGACGTACTGTTTCTGTAAATAGTCAGTACTAAGAAACAAAAATCGTAAATATTAAGAATATTTTTTTATCGATTGCTGCATAATTCATGGTATATTTTAAAATAAAATTATAAGGCTGATTAAATAGGTTATCTGCGTTATGTTTTTATGCGATAATTTAAAATTTTACTTTTAAATTCGATCGTCTTCGCTTTCACGAAACGAAGATGACTGGTTATGTAAGTTATTATTAAATAAAAATAAGTAGTTAAAACAATTTTCCACGCCAATACTTTTTAAATACAGCTTACGCTTCCAAAGAACTATTTTAATTGAATGTTTCTATTATTTTATAAGCAAACTAAATTGTATTTGTCCAGTGCCTTTACTAAAATTTCACGTACAATTAATTGGTATTTTATTAAATATTCGTAACTTGTTAGCCTTTCCCTGGTCGAGTATTTTCTGAAGCACGTCCCTGGAAAATATTAATTTCGATGCACTGTCCGTAGTAATTTAAATGTACCCATTGATGACTGGACACTTAGATCATTTAATAATGACCACCCACGTGCGTTATTATGGTAAACCTAGTTGTTTTTTATTTAAAAAATTAGCATATCCTAAGTCACCGATGTTGTGGTCAAACATGAAATAATTGGCGTAATAATATCGATGATACAACCAAGAACGTAAACATAATTAAAGGAACCTGATTTACATTGTTTTTGTTGTTAATGTAACAGGTCAGGTGCTGGAAATAAGGAAAAACATACAGTGTTGTATATAACCGACATAGAATAATAGGACGACCATCTGGGTTATCGGATTTAGCACATCTTGACCTTAGACCTTTCCTTAATTAATACGAATAAAGTTTTAGGAACGTTGAACACTTCCTCGCCATGAGCGCCGTTAACACCGAGTCCAAGAGGGTAAAGGGGCACAATAAAATATTAAAATATTTATTTGATCTCCTACTAAGTCTAAGGTCCGTGAGTAAATCGTACATGGCCAGGGCCGGATTCAGGACATCGCACTAATATTGCACATGTAATGAAATGATAAACGATATCTTTTAATCAGCGATTATGTAATATATAGAATGACTGGGGTAAAAATATCTCACTGGACATACAGTGTTCACTTGTTGTTCACAGGATTAGAAAGAATTAGCAAGAGTTCATTAGGAAAATGTTCGTTATCGTCGCTAAAAGTTCAGTTTCAATGACCAAATGAACATTAATTGGTTTACAGAGGAAACGATTGCACATTTAAAATATTTGAAACGAAATCATGTTTACAAAAAATAATTTTATGTAATTTTTTCTTATTCCAATGACGTCCTTAGAACCACAAAAAATCGCGATTATTTTCTGTGTATTTTTCTGTGTAATGGCACTGGTTTTACACCAACCAGCCAGTTCGATTTTTTTCTATTTTCTGAATTACGATATACAGGCTTTTACAAACTCGCTTCTCACTACAGGGATCTGGGAAACGGTAAGGGATACGGACAAGCTTAAATGGGGGAAAAGTTGCATAATCATGGAACCAACCTCTACAAAATCAAGGCTAACATGATTAGTTTTCGAAATATTTGAAAAAAATCGAAATTTTGAAAATCCGTTTTTGTTTCATTTCAGATTTGTGGGTGATATTGAAAAAATAAGAACACTTTCCCAAGGCAACTTTTGCCGTCTATCGAATGGCATAATCATTTTTATATGTAACGTTTTGTCTCTCCAGGACCATTATCAACTTCATTTTTTTAAGTACGACCCTGGAAATTTTAATACATAGAGGGCAAAAAGTTGCCTTGGGAAAGTATTCTTATTTTTTCAATATCACCCACAAAGCTGAAATGAAACAAAAACGGATTTTCAAAATTTCGATTTTCTTCAAATATTTCGAAAACTAATCATGTTAGCCTTGATTTTTTAGAGGCATAATGTTGGTCCTCTGATTATGCAACTTTGCCTCCATTTAAGCTGGTTCGTATCTCTTACCGTTTCCGAGATCCCTGTAGTGAGAAGCGAATTTGTAACAGCCGGTATAGGCATCTTTTCCCTAATAACTTTGTTTTCTTTGCTGAATACTTAAATTATCTGTGACTCATTAACCTCATTAATTTATTCAGGTTAAGTAAAGGAATAACAAATTTAAAACTTAAATTTTTTAATATTTCGGTCAAAACTAGTATTAACTGATGATAAATGCAAATACATTTCGGCTTATGGAAATTGAGCCCAAACACTACACTACATTACATGTACAATTTTTGCTTAGCGCTAGATATGACCATTAGACTTCGTATTTATAGTGTCTTGAAATTTCAGAAGGATTTTTAACTTATTTATTATGCATAGTTAAGTCAAAAACGTTTCGATAAAATGTTAGATACGCCTATTAACAACAATTACTCTTTGTTTTGCCCCTAGTCCTAGATAGTCTCTAGTTCAACTGTTGCATTTCAAACTTATCTATAAAAAAGACCCGGTATATTTACCTAAATGCTGTTGTTGTGAACAAAATTAACTTTGTACAGATACATATGTCTATTTTTCATCAGATGTGAAAACAAAGTCCGAACCTGGAATGTACGAATTACTCACGAACCTTAAAGCAAAACAAAGTTTTTATGGTCATACTTTATTGAGAAAAAGTGAAAACGGGAATAAATAATTTTAACAAAACAATAAACTTTTCTAGTAAAAAATGCTGTATTTCTAAATGACAGCAAAAAAACCGTCAACTTAAGGGGGGGGGGGGATTTGTTCCCATCCCACCGTGACCTCAAAGGGGTATAAAATAAAATACTTATTTGAAATAATTAAACAACTGTATTACAAATTTTACTCGTACATATAAAAAGTTATGGGATGGTCAAGGGGGTAGAGCTCCCAAAGAAACAACATTCTGTATGTCATATATGTGAAAAGTAATTAGACTTGGAATGAATAAAAATGAGTTAAAACAGAAGTGGAACAAACCAAGGAGTGTCGTTGACTTGTACATTTCCTGAATGTCCGAAAATGGTCAGATAGTCGTTTATGCAAAAATATACTGAGTATTTTTTTCAGTTCGTTACCTACATGTTTAAATTCTGCAGGAGCTTTTTGTAAATATTATATTGATGACTAAGTACGAAGTAAGGAGCACAGGTTTGTCTGTATATTTGTGGCTTTGGACTTGCCAATTAGTCGGAGCGTTTTTTTATTTGGATTTCGTCCGAATTTCTGTAAAATCTGTTGGAATTGTTTTTTTTATATTTTCAATTATTTACAGTCGGTTTGTGTGTATACAAAAGTGGTGACAGACATATAATTAACTGGCACTTAAATTCTCTCGACAGTTGAAAAAAAACGGCCCTCATTTTACGTTTTGTTTTTTTCAATTTTATTTCATTTTTCCCACAGCTATATTTATTGTAACAAATTTTTCTTGTTTCATCAAATCAACTTGTAGAATATTTCTACTATTTTCATTCCTAACCACCAAAATTCATTTCAGTATGTTTATAAAATCGAATACTTTTGAAGGTGGTTTGAATATGGTGTTCCGCAGGGTCTGGTTTTGGGTCCTTTACATTTTTAATTTATGTTAATGATCTACTTAACATTTTTGATAATTATGTTTCTAAAAAAGTTTCTTTTTACAGCTACTTTGCCTTCTTCGAAGTTTGGTGAAAAAATTTTTCTTACCAATTTTAAAAATCTGGTATCACAGCCTGATTTATCTGCGTAGGATATACGCTATTATAGTATACATGTTTTTTTTGCTCTCCGACGAGAAGCAAGTCTGTAAATGTTATGTATGGACGGATTAGAACTCAAGAGACGTTTGCAAAAAAAATACTTTATTGATTTCAATATTCTCACTGTTCCAAATTTTTATTAAATATTTCAGTGCCTTCTTTATATTAAAAAACAATTTGCATAATTTTTGCAGTACAAACCAGTTCTTGTAATACTAAAAGGAAACATGATTTTTACAATAGATTTTTTACTCATAAAAAAAAACTGAAAAAGGAACATATTATTTCGGAATACAATTTTTTAATATATTATCTCCACAAGTAACAAATTTAAACAGTAAAATTAAAACATTTTTATTAAAATGTGCTTGTTACACTTCTAATAAATTTTTAAATACAAATTTTATAAATGAACCTTCATTTTTAGCCTTTTATTGTTGTTCAAAGATGTAGTTTGTCTTTATTTTATTTATTTATATCTTTATTATTTGTATTTTTTTTACTGGATTACTATTTTTTACTTTCGACGTGGTAAACACTTTTGTGAGAATTTGAAATAAATAAATAATTTCGCAAGTTCTTTAAGATAATGTACGATGTCATTTGATGATAATTCATAAAACATGAGATTAAATTTTTATACTTTTCACAGCTATTGAAACATTGTTTTTTTTTATTAAATTATTTTAACCCTAATTTTATTTTTATATTTTTAATAGTGAAATGAGAACCTTGTACAACATTTGGAAACGTTAATTCTGTAAAATATTATAAAAAAACTGCTTGGAACGCACTATAGGAACTTTCAAAACAGTTTAAAGTTCATCCAGGTTATGCCGAAACAAACTATAGCTGTACTCACCGTTTTGCGCAAGGGCAAAAAATATTCCGAAAGCTAAAACCAAGCATGCTCCACGATACATATTGCACAGTTCACCTCTCGAAAAACAAACAACTGAAATGAACTCGAACCCGACTGTTCTTCGTTTGGGTTTTCAGATAGGAATAATTCCGTTTTCTCATGCTAGATTTAAGAATTGAGATGCGGCGCCTGAAGCCCCCCCACCTTCGAAATCTGATGGTGTGGTCGTTCGAAAACACCCACTGTAATGAATTACCGCGTTTTATGCATTGATCATTATAAATATACAGGGTGTTTGAAATTACTTTGTTACATTTTCCATAAATAACAAACAAATTAAAATATGTAATCCTCATTAGTATCTATAATTTAAACGATCCCCAGGCATTTTTGTTTAAATTTTCAGCAAAAACTATTACACACACACGCAATAATAATTTGACAACTAACTTGACAAATGTCATGTTATTTCAATTGTTTTTGGTCAATTTGACAACAATGATGAATGAAAATTCTTATAGTCAGATAGACAGCCTGATTCTACTTTTTTACGTGGATTCTACAGTCATTTTCCAAAGTATCTTTTCTGGTGTAATTCTCATTCTGCGAAATGCACAATTGTGCCACAGAACTAGAATACCTGCCTTGAGATGACCTTGAATGACCTCGAGGATGCATGCAAAGTAAAAATAAACACCGGATTCGGATTCAGCGACCTCAAAAACATGTCCATGGATTTTTTCAGATTTGTGAAAGGTATTTTGACCATTTGACCTTCAAATTACCTTGAAATGAGGTCGACTGACCTCAGATTCAAATTCAGGGTCCTCGAAAACATACGTATGAATTTTTTCAGATTTTTCGGATGGTACTTAGCATTTTTGTCTCAAAAACCCATCAAATGACCTTGAGATGACCTTGAACCACCTCGAGGATGCATGCAAAGTAAAAATAAACAACGGATTCGGATTCAGCGACCTCAAAAACATGTCCATGAATTTTTTCAGATTTTTGGAAGGTCTTTTGACCGTTTGACCCTCAACCCCCTTGAACTTGACGTGATGGAGCCTAACCGACCCACTCGTCGTAATCAGCGACCCCAAAAACCCTAGGTACCATCTTCGATTCCGGTATAGATAAAATGTTGACCTGTGTTATTAAAAAATATCTAAGCAATTTTTGTTACATATTCTGATTCTACAAAATTTTTTTTTATTCCCCCTAATCCAATCCCAATTATTCGCCCTGTACACAGTTTTCAAAAGTTAACAGCAGCTTGAAGGAACCACCTCTTGAGTTTCTCAAGACCATCTCTGTAAGGGCCTGAATGAAATAAAAGTCCGTTAATAGATCTATTGAGACTTTTTAACGTCACAATGATGCATTTAGTGGACAATAGGCCATGCAGTTGGTAATTATGATAATCGAGGGGAGTATACGAGTACGGGGGGGGGGGGGCATAACCTAAGGTTAAGTGTTTAATTAATTAATTAGTGGTAGGGTGTATAAGTAATTAACCTTTGTGATTTACAAGTGTTAAGGAACTAACAACTTTTGCAATGAACTGTTGATGCAATGGATGCATCGCGATGTTTTTCATTAACACATAATTTACGATACTGGCGTTGTACAGGATGTCCAAGTTTTAAACCGAAACAGGTGATAGAAAGTTTAATTTTTTTATTTAATTAGGTACTTTTTCCACGCACTGAAATGAATTTTGTTGTTGCTCTTAAAAGTTTATATTAAAATTATGAAGATAAAGATGTTTCATAGTTTCAAATGGATTTCAAAATTCATATGGAAGCCTACGAAAAGACCTTTATAAAAAAAATAATATTATGTTTCAAAAAAAGGTGGTGGTTTTTATCGTTCACCTAACTTCCAACGGACAATTGACAGGTAATTTTGGGACATCCTGTATAATATACCTATATTAATATTTGTACTGCTATAACTAGCCCAACCGGAAAAAGACGTATGCATTAATAATTCTTGAAGAATCAAATTATAAACTGGGGTTATTAAAAAAATCTCAGAAAAATGACCTTCAAATAATCTTGAACAAGACCTAACTTCGTCAAACGGACACCGGATTCGGATTCAGCGACCTTAAAAACGTGTGGTATGGTGGTCTAGCCTATCACACTTTGAATTTTTTTTTTTGATGTCGATTAATTTATCGACCAAATTGTGAGGGAACAACTAATCATCCCGAACTAAAAATTTATAGTGCAAAATACTCTTATTCTTCAATGAGGGATCTATTCTTATAATTTTGTAATTTAAAGTGACATCACCACGTATATGAGTAGAAGAAAAACTACAAATACCCATACATCTTACAAACTCCTTGAATGAATCATAGGAGGCGGATAGTGTTTGTCTCATATAATTAATGCCAATTTCCAGGATAATACGTGCTGCAAAAATTGGTTGCTAATCATAGGCGTAGCACAAAGTAGGTTGTTTGGTTGGTGTATTGCTTTAGAGGAAAATATTTGTACAAAACGTGAAAAGGAAACAAAAATCTATGTATTCAAGAATTTTTCATCTACGCCACTGTCTAACGTTGTTGATGTGTGTAATTTTAGAGGTGTTTTAATATTATTTGTGGAAAAATCCTCCACGCAAACTGTTCACGTGTGGATGACATAATTAGTATAAAATACTGATTTAATATTAATGATTTAGTATCAAAAACAAGTCGTGTACAGAAAATGGTCATACGAATATGATAAAATTACAATTGAGATAAATATATGGTCGTTAAAATGAAATGATAGCGAGATTTGGAAGTCGATTTTCCGACAAAATAACATTTTTTGTAGGCAGTTGAGATGGTCTTAAATGGAAATTTAAGGATATTTAAAGATCAAAATAAATGACGAATATAAAATTTGAGTAAACAGTTACACAGAAATTTGAAATAAATAACTACAAAAAACTTTTGGAATAAACAAGTACAAAAAATATATTGCTCTAGTTTATACATTCTACAGGGTGTCCGCAAATTTCACCGACAACGTTTGACTGCATATTCACGACGATAAATAAATACGATCTACAAAAAAGTTAACAAAAGTTAAATAAAAATGTTTGGTTTTTGAGTTGCAATCGCGTTAAAATTTTGCATATATGTTTGGAGTATTATGGCGTATTATTTCTTAAAGCTTTAGTCAGATCGATGACTAAAAAATAGGACCACTGTAAAAGTTTTGACCGCTAAAAGAGAGAGGTTAAATAAATGAGCCAAATTATTCGATCGGTAAAAGGGTTATGAAGCTATTAATTAAATTAGTTTTATTTTTGACAACTTTGAAGGCCTGTAACTCAAAAACCAAAAAGTTTTTAATTAACCTTTTTTTTTCGTAGATCGTATTTGTTTATCGTCGTGAATATGCAATCAAAAGTTGTCGGTGAAATTTGCGGACACCCTGTACATATTTTGTTTCAATGATTTGAATTCTGAAAAATTTTTTTTTGTGTTTAAACATGAATTTTATAGCAGTTGCTGCATTTGGTCTAACCGTTTGTGAAATATAGGATAGCATATTGTGAAATATATACAGGGTGTTTTTAAATAAGTGCGAAATAATTTAGGGGGTGGTTGCCAAAGTTATTTTGTGAAAAAAAGTTCATGTAAACGTAGATCGAAATAGGATTCGTTTCCGAGATACAGTGTTTAAATTTTAATTTTTTATTTATTTTTATTAATTTTAAGTGTAAGACTCGAAATTTAAAAAAGGCTTTGGAAGGATAAATGTGCATTTTTTGGGGTGATCCATACTTCTACTTGCACCAGCGGCATGACATTAATGATATGCTTTTACAAAAATTTGCGACCATTCTATAATAGTTTCGAAAAATTTTGCGGTGTTGCCAGATTTATTTAAAATATTAAAATATTCATTTTTGAGGTTGTTTTTGAAATTTTACCTTATATCTTTGAAGAACCAAAAAAATACTCTATTTACACAGCTTAAAATTTAAAATAGCGCCTATAAGAAAAAAATAAAGTTGATGATGGTTTTCCGTAACCGAAACGTCGCAATGAAAATCTAAATATACTGTGAAGTTCCTCGGAAAAACATGTTGTGCAAACGTGTTTTCACATTTTAAAAATTCCTCTAAATAAAAAAGTTACAGACGATTTTCGAAAACGCCACATTTAATTTTTTTCAAAATATGTAACTGAAAAACCTGATAATTAACCATTTTCTTATTTCTTATAGTTTCTAAGATATCAACACATGCATCACCAAAATGGTCCACGCTGTATATATTTTTCTAAAATGAGCATGAAACAGATCTCAAAAAAACCAAAAGTATACAGTGTTCCGTTAGAAAAAAAACCTAACCTTGGTTTGCCACGCTTTTTGAGAATATTCTGTATTAAAGCTCAATTTCATCATATAAATCTTTATTTAAGAGTTATTCAAAAATTAAAAAGTTACGTTGACATTTATAATTTCAAATATTTTATATTTTAATCTTGTGGATTTTATTATACATCTTTAAAACAAGTTCTGTTAAATTAATACTTCTATATATATTTTGCAAGTATTACACAATAACCTCTGCTCGTTCGTAACATGTTGACTATTTTACCCTTAGGGCCATCGACATTTTAATTTTGGAAACTTTCTAAATATTATGACTGGTACAGGCATCTTTCACTGGCTATTTAATTAGTAACCAGATTATTGAAAGACATGTTTTCTGGCGATTTTTGATTAAAATGGAACTTGGCAGCGGTACCGAGTACACCTATTTCTTGCCTAAAAATAGTTTATTGCACAATTTTATTATTAAACAATAAATATAAACACAATTTAACCATAAACACGTGTGTTTATTGCTTAATATGCTTAATATTGATTAATCCGTTTCATTATATTATATTATTTCGGTGAACTGGAATAGAATACACTTACATCGTCCTCTTACACCTTTATGTACCTGTTTCCCACCACTAGAAGAGCCATTGGATCTGCAGAGATGGAATTACATTATTGCATAAAAAAATGATTGCCCAACCTCGTTCATTATAATCATAACTAGAGATAGCAATAATACATGTAATTCAATAGAAGAAACTGTTAAATTAACAATTAATTAATTAGTTACAAAAAAGATGTTGCAAAAT